GGGGCGCTCTGGACTTGGTATGAAGGCTATAAAGAAAAGAGGTAATGTCAGTGTTTATTTGTTTTAACAAAGCCATATTGAGATATCTGCTGTAAGTTTGTAGACTTACCGCTGGCCCACCGGGAAACACTAATGTTAATCTGCCTATTATAAGTGAAAGTTGTATTCCTTGTAATAAAAAAAAGAATAGATAAAACACTGAAAAACAACCTTTTTAATAGTACATAAATATTTTCTAAAATCTAAAAGTGATAATTATTATGCATGGCCGACACATACGGAGAATCGTGGCCACCCGTTTTAAATATACTTTGAAATTTACATTGTCATTTAGGTATCCAAGATTTATCTTAAGTGAACTTATACTTTGGAAATCAAAGTACGTAGTGATCAATAATACACAAATACACACACACACACATATATATATATATATAATTGTTCATTTGTTCATACAAAAATATCTTTACGCATGCTAGTTAATTTCCTAGTTTAAATCTGGAAGCACTCGTGAGTAAAGTTAAAAAACTTTTTTAAAAACGTAGAGAATTTGTATATAAAAATACAACAATAGATAATTTTTCCCATTTATAGATACATAAAACTTCAGTACCCGATATTACTTTCTCTTTGACCAAACTTTGGACTGATATGTGCAAAGTATTTTTGCCTGAAACTGAAATATTCGGCTATGAAATACTTTTTTTTTCCCCATTTTTTAGACAAAAACTAAACAAACATCCTTTAGTATAACGATATTAAAAAAACTGTATAAGATACATTATTATATACATTTGGAAGTAATTATATAAATTAATTTGGTATACTGATGTTGACCGGTTATCTTGATAGCATTATTGTACCATCGACAGATATTTTCGTGCACAAGGTTTAATGTTTTACATGTTATATCTGATGTATGTTTTTACTAAAGAATTACCACCTGCTTCAATCTCTGTTTTTTCAGGCAGGCAACACTTTCTGTGTTTCCGTGTAATACGTACAAAGCTCGTTCTTAGGTAATCGTTGACCTCCTTAAAAGTCATGTTTTCAGCATTTGTGTGAACTATAAATAACCACCAGAATAGTGTTAAAAATGGAACACCGTGTCAAGAATAGCGTCTATTTGTAATCGGGGCCACAGTACATTCTAAAAAAGCACAGTCTACTTTCCCTCGACAATGAAGTCAAATATTTTCAGTTTTTAATACGAAAGTAAGAAAAGGAAACATATTGAATAAGATTTATTTGAATTTCACATTATAAAAATGATGGCAGAAGTAAACTGGTCTTTTACCCTAACAATTTAGGTGTTATTAAGAAACATGTTTTACATATGCCCTATATATCTCTACATATATTATATCTAATGTATGCCTTTACTGAAATGTTATCGTTTCCTTCAATCTCTGTTCCATAGAAGAATCAACAGGTAAATATAAGTTTCTCGAAGCAGCTTGCTATTCAAGAATAGTGCAAATCTTTCCATCATTTTCTGCTTCGTGTTTGTTGTTTCCGTTTTTCTTCAGCATGATGAACACAGTGTCAAGTGGATAGAAAGGCGTTCTTAAAATGGTTTTAATGTAATTCTTATGCGTTCAAAATGTGGTATGTTTTTCATCAATTTGAAAGAAAGGTTTGTAGAAATGAATGTGGAAATTGTAGAGACAAACTTAGAGAGAAGTTCTCAATTAAATTTTCTCAACTTCATCACAAATATCACACAGAAAAATCAGAAAGTTAAAGACTTGGCACTGCTCCCTTCCTCTGTAGCTATCTATTAAATGTATGAAATCTGTCTCTTCCTCTGTAGCTATCTATTACATGCATGAAACCTGTCTCTTCCTCTGTAGCTATCTATTACATGCATGAAACCTGTCTCTTCCTCTGTAGCTATCTATTACATGCATGAAACCTGTCTCTTCCTCTGTAGCTATCTATTACATGCATGAAATCTGTCTCTTATTGATATTTCTCTTCATTATTTAATGGCTTCATGTTGAAACACAATTTATAATACTGAAATTAGAATTAAGTTCAAATAAGTATTTATCACAAAAAATATAGTGTTTTTTTATTTTTATCTGATGCATTGAATAGTATCAACAACCAGCTTTCTATTTTGCGTTTAGATATCCTTCTTGAAATGTACAGATGGCACAGAAATAGCAATTAAGGTGAGTTTGGAGAACTTTTGGAAAATAAACAGATAGCTAATTGTATGGTTTTGCGCTTCACAACAAACAAACCTTTCAGCTAGAAATGCCTCTTTCAATACCTCTTGCATATTTGACAATAAAAACACCCTGTGATTTCTGGTTCTCTCAAATATTTTATTTTATTTCACTAATGTAATTATTGAAATTATTTATTTTATTTAAAAGTGCAAAGTATTAAAAAAAACTTTATGAAAGATGAAAATATTGGGACAAACACAGCCTCCATGTTTTATTTCAATACTATATACTTTTGGAGTCATTTTAACCACATTTAAGAAAAAATCGGTCGATGTTAAGTACAACTGTAAAATGATCTTACAAAATTAAACCATTATTTTACTTGGGATAAACATTAAAACACGGTTTCTATCGACATGTAATATAATTTACACAATTTCATGGTAATAATAATGAGAATAAGTCCAATCAGATTTAAAATTTATTTTCTTGGAGTGTGAGTTGTGTTCGAACACAAACGTCCATTTGGCCTATATAAAAACATGATATATCAAAAGAAACATTCTTGTGTTGACAGGTGCAGTTGCTGGTACACAGTTATTTGCATTTTCATCACAAATTTATGTGCAAGTTGTAGGGAAGGGAACTGGGTAACATCAAGACAGGTTAGACTCCATGTGGTGATGATAATGATATCTATCCAAAATTAAATTGGTTAGAGATAGCTAGTGTCGTTTGCATGGCCTTCGCCCAGATGCACGATGAACATGCTGTCGAAAATAATTAATTTTATATCTGGCTTCTTGGTATATAGATGGTGTCTCAAGGTATATATGTTCGAAAAATCGCCTTTGTAATACACCATTGTGAAAAGATAGTGACAAACAAAACTATGCAACCTATTAGCTCTCCATGTGTATTGTTCTGTCTTTCAAGCTAGGAGCGTATATCAATGAGTTCAGAAACAACCTTGGATGCTGCTTTGATGAAACTGTGCTTGCCTTTGCCAAAGAAGAAGCTATTTGTGTCACAACCACTCAGTGCATGAAGTAAAGACAACAGCTTAGTCTTGATAGCACTGTATGAGTTTAAAACATTATTAATGGGAATATAGTAATTCGTGGTTTTAATGAATAGTTCCTTCAAACCTCTATCTGCTAATTTTGTGGGCAGGTACTCTGCTATCACATCAATATTAGTATCAGATGATCGGATAACAACTTCAGTATATCCTTTGTGTACAGGAACACACAAGTGTCTGCTTACTCGTGCTGCTTGTCAGGAGGTCATGGTCATCAGTAAAATCATCTGTATCTGATAAATGTCTCAGGGTAATTATATTTTGTCTGTCTTTGAAGCCACCAGCGAGGATAAGGATGAGACCATGTGGTAGAACATCTGAGCTGTGAGACCCGGAAGCAAAAAGAAATTTAAAAAAATTGAGTTTGATGAATAGTCCAGTGGTTTTACCAATATTCTTTCTTGGATTCTATGCACCGACCTCTGCATCCACAGGCCAACAGTTTTCCCACTTGCATCCTCTACATCATGAAGACCATCATATCTGTCACCAACTATATGCATCTCCACGCAAGATGTTTCTAATAGTATTTCCTTTAGCAGCTGCTCAGTATGTTCGTCACTAACCTCATTATAAGATGACCTATGTGTTCGGAAAAGTTCCATGACATCAACAAAAACAACTGTTTTGAAGTTGTTACTAGACAAGGTGACTAGCCATTCCTCAAGCCCAGAATTATTTTTCATGGTATTCGGTAGAAGTAGCTTATTCTCCCTGAGAATTTTAATTCCCTTTGTTATTTGATGAATTTCTGCAATAGCGGGTCATTCCCATCTTAAAGTCATCTGATCTATGTAGATTGAGCTTTTGTTGCCATGTTTGTTCCTGGGTTATGTTACAACGGCTTTTGGTCTGACTGTCGTACACATAAGTGATGGGATTTATCTTTTCACGATCGACAAATATCATTACCGTTCTTTCTTTTGATTCTATTTCTCTTGTTTTTGTTCTTGCATTTGCTTCACGATGTGAATCATCTACACCATTTAAGTGTACCATAGATTTTACAGCAGAGGAGACTGAAATAGTCAAGGGAAGTTTCTAAAACCACTAACCATTTCTACCTTCATTTTCAGTCCTGCTAGCCCACTTCTGCCCTTTGCATAACAGTTATGAGAGCATTGTAATACCATATTTGTTCATATGTCACTAACTGTTATATTTTCAGTATTCACAAGAACCAATTATTATTAAGCAAATGTTTCATGAAGAAATAAATAATCACTTATCAATTATGATGCATAATTATAGTTGATTTTCAATGCACAGTTCACATTTTGTAACATAATACGTGTATGAACGTAGAATTGCATTTCAGACGCGCATTGTATCTACATGGTCTATAATATGTTTTCAATGTTAAAAATCTACAATTAAACATTTTATTGAAGTAAATAAGTCCTTCCATTTCTGAAAAATCATAGTTATTGTTTTCGTCTTGGATTCTAGATTTTTACTTAATAAATAATGACAATTTAGCTATTTTAGACCGAAAACCGGATATCATGTGACTATATGATATTGCTCAGTAGTGATGCAAATATCATGCCTTTGTGAATATTTAATCAGAAATTTATGAAAATTATGATCGAAATATTCATTTTCAAGCATTTTGATGAAATTCTGGAAGCCATTTTGAACTTGGATTAAAATGAGCATTTTTGCAGGGTTAATTTTTCGTTACACCATCCATATTTTCAAACAGCATATTATACAAATCAGAAAATGACAAGAAAATAATAGGGGGCGAGTGGTGTAGCTTCCACATAATTTACTGTCGAAGTGAGCGCCCTCTCTCTTTCTAAGAACGTCTGGGTGATAAGTGTATGGTTCTCTTTGTGAGCTAAGGTCAATCCGACGACTTACACTAATTGATAATACATCCATCGAATTTAATAACGTTAACATAAAATATGGCAACTGATGACGAACTTGCTTGCGTTTATAGCGCTTTGATTCTTCAAGATGACGAAGTTGCGATCACTGTAAGTTGAGTTGTTATTATTCAATAGGTTTAGACAGCCATTACTGATTTCATATCTAAAGAATAACTGACACGTGGTGAGGGTTTAGAATCCCACAAGCTTGTTGTATGGAGAACATAATTACACAATGAATAATATTTTACATTCTCTGTTAAATATTTCATTAATTATAAGTTTTTTAAAACGAATATTAAGTAATGAAATAGTATTTTAATAATTTGCCATATATTAATTTTAAAACAGGCTGTACTAGTAGTAGTGGTAGTACTACGTCTTACTGCTACTACTCTGGTATACAAAAATTAACTAATTATTATTAAATATATACTTATAGTATCTAATAAATTGCCTGAATTTTGCAGTTTGATAATTCAGCTGTTTCTCTATGTACACTGAGTGGTCACAAGTAAATAGACACCTAATTTTTCATCATTTAACTAATTTGTGTTCACAGAGCACTATATAAATGAAAATGGTCTGCACACTAATTATCTTGTGCTACAACATGCCTAGAACTCGAGGTTCTATCGAATTATCAGATTTTGTAAGAGGAAGGATAGTTGGTCAAACACATGGTGGAATAAGTCAATGGCAAATTTTGCAGAATTTGGGAATCCCGCTTTCGACAGTCAACAGAATCAGCGTCCGTGTCATCCTGGTCCATCGGAGGGGACAAAAGGGCTGTCAAGAGGAGCATCGAAATGGATCCCAG